TGAACTCAGGACCTCTGGAAGAGCAGTCAGTGTTCTTAACCTCTGAGCCATCTCTCTTAATGATGCTTTCCTCTCATAGTTTTGGCTCATTTTCTGGTTCTAGTACCCATTTTCCTTACAGACAGAGAGACAATCATTAAATAGTATAAAATACATATTATAGCAATGTGTACACATAGAAGCTTAACGAAAGAAGCCGAAGGGGCTGGGAATGTGGCTCAGTTGGTAGAATCCTTGCTTAGCATGCAGGTGGCCTTGCTAGGTTTGACCCCCAGTACCACATTTGCCAGACTTGGTGGCACACTGCTGTAATCCCAGCACTTGAGAGGTGGATGCAGAAGGGTCGCTGGCACACACCTTCAGTCCCATCACAGGCAGAGGCAGGTGGATGAATCTAGGCCAGCCTGTTCTATACAGCAAGTTCCAGGCCAGCTAAAGTCAGATAGTGAGACCAGGTCATCTTCAGCTACAAAGAGAGTTCAAGGCCAGCTTGGGATAGAGTGTTTAAAAAAACAACAGCAACAATCTCAGAGATTCTGAGTATGTCTACAGACAAGTGCAGATCTGTCGAATCTTTTTGTTTGTTTGTTTGTTTTTTGTTTTTCAAGACAGGGTTTCTCTGTGTAGCCCTGGTTGTCCTGGAATTTGCTCTGTAGACCAGGCTGGCCTCAAACTCACAGAGATCCACCTGCCTCTGCCTCCCGAGTGTTGGAACTAAAAGCATGCATCACCACTAACAGGCCAAGATCTGTGAAATCTTATTTCTTTCAAGTCACCAAATTTAGGTGGGATGGTAGGAAAACAAGGACCTGGATCTACATTGGGGTAACTTGTCATAGAGGCACACATCAGTAATCTCAGCTCTCCAGAGTAGAGGTAGGAAAATCAGCACAAGTTCAAGGCCAGCCTAGGCTAAAGGACAAAACCCAGTCTCTGAAAACTCAAACCAGTAAGGCAATAGTGTTTAATTCTCTCACCTGAAGACACATTTCGGGCTGTGAATGGATCTGGGTGTTACATATTATATATTGAAGTCAGTTAATTAAAAACAAAGATGGACTTTGAACTATGCCTGAGTACCTTCTTCTGACAGATGAACTTGAAGCTCTTCAAAGTTAAAAACAACAACCACAACAACAACAAAAAAAACCTGTCTAAGACAGAGTATAGCAGAGCAGCGCACGCTTTGATCCTAGCACTCGGGAGGCAGAGGTGAGCAAATATGTGAGTCCCAGGCCAGCTTCATCATGTAGTGAGCTTCAGAACAACACAGTAAGATTCTGTTTCAAAAACAAAAATAGCCAGGCAGTGGTGGCACATGCCTTTAATCTCAGCACTCAGGAGGTAGAGGCAAGAGGATCACTGTGAATTCAAGGCCAGCCTGGTCTACAGAGTGAGTTCCAGGTCAGCCAGGAATTCTCAGAGAAACCCTGCCACCACCACCCCCAAAAAACCCCCAACAATAACAACAAAACAAAAATGTGGCGTTAGCACATGTTTACAAAAAAAACAAAAAAACAAACAAACAAACAAACAAAACACAAAATGGCGGTAGCACATGTTTAGCCTGGTCTACAGAGCAAGTTCCAGGACAGCCAGAGGTACACAGAAAAATCCTGTCTCAAAAAACCAACCAAACAAGCCAGGCAGTGGTGGAAGACACCTTTAATCCCAGCACTCGAGAGGCAGAGGCAGGTGAATCTCTGTGAGTTTGAGACCAGCTTGGTCCACAGCAGCTTGCTCTAGGACAGGCTCCAAAACCTACATAGAGAAAACCTGTTTCAAAAAACACTAAAACAACAAACAAACAAAAACAACAAACCAAACAAACAAAAAAACCAAAATAACGAGTAGTCCAACAGTCCACACCCTACTGAGGACTAGAATGCAAGTCAGAGACTTTATCAAAATCCAGATGAAGTGGACTTGAAGTGTCCTATTATAAAGTTGTCTCTGAAATGACAATTTCTCTGAGTATGACCATATCTTCCTCTGGCACAATAGCACAAATCAACTTAGAGTCTAGAGCTGGAAATGATCTCCAGCAAGAGCTCATCACAGCCAGCAGTGCCTTGGCTTCCTGTTTGTTTCCTGGTCCCCAGATTAGCAACTTACCTGTAGATCCTACTTGCCCATTCATCTCAGAATGTCACATACATGGAAAGCTTGCAAAATACTCCAAAGGAATTGATATGACTTCACACCATGATGTCATCAGGGAGGTGACAGGTGGAATCCATGTCATGACACAGACGGAAAAAAGCCCCGTCTTCTGCTTCCCCCTTCCACAGGGTTATACTCCAGACAGTTTGCTGTTGACATGAATTTTTCTCACTCTGTAGCCCATGGCTATAGCATACCAGCTCAATGCAGGTCACAGCATTAACTATGCATGTAATTTTTAAATAGCCTAAGGATAAACAGATGGGTGCAAATTAGATACACACTCCAGACCAACCCATTTTTATTTATTGCTTGACTGGTGCAATCTAAACAGACAATTCTGAGGGGTTTAGTGTCATTTGCTTACTAAGTAAGTATGAATGGAGTGTCTGCTGAAGGGCAGGCACCATACCATACATGAGCACTCCGGCAGGTACACCACAACCCCCATCTCTGCTTTTGAGAGCTATTCCAGGTCAGCCAGGAATTCTCAGAGAAACCCTGCCACCACCCCCCCCAAAGAACCCCCAACAATAACAACAAAACAAAAATGTGGCGTTAGCACATATTTACAAAAAAAAAAAACCAAAAAAACAAAACAACAAAAAAAAAAACACAACATGGCAGTAGCACATGTTTAGCCTGGTCTACAGAGCAAGTTTCAGGACAGCCAGAGGTACACAGAAAAATCCTGTCTCAAAAAACCAACCAAACAAGCCAGGCAGTGGTGGAAGACACCTTTAATCCCAGCACTCGAGAGGCAGAGGCAGGGGAATCTCTGTGAGGTTGAGACCAGCTTGGGCTATAAGAGCTAGTTCCAGGACAGGCTCCAAAACCTACATAGAGAAAACCTGTTTCAAAAAACACTAAAACAACAAACAAACAAAAACAACAAACCAAACAAACAAAAAAACCAAAATAACGAGTAGTCCAACAGTCCACACCCTACTGAGGACTAGAATGCAAGTCAGAGACTTTATCAAAATCCAGATGAAGTGGACTTGAAGTGTCCTATTATAAAGTTGTCTCTGATGTGACAATTTCTCTGAGTATGACCATATCATCCTCTGGCACAATAGCACAAATCAACTTAGAGTCTAGAGCTGGAAATGATCTCCAGCAAAAGCACATCACAGCCAGCAGTGCCTTGGCTTCCTGTTTGTTTCCTGGTTCCCAGATTAGCAAATTACCTGTAGATCGTACTTGCCCATTCATCTCAGAATGTCACATACATGGAAAGCTTGCAAAATACTCCAAAGGAATTGAAATGCCCCCCCACCATGATGTCATCAGGGAGGTGACAGGTGGAATCCATGTCATGACACAGACGGAAAAAAGCCCCGTCTTCTGCTTCCCCCTTCCACAGGGTTATACTCCAGACAGTTTGCTGTTGACATGAATTTTTCTCACTCTGTAGCCCATGGCTATAGCATACCAGCTCAATGCAGGTCACAGCATTAACTATGCATGTAATTTTTAAATCGCCTAAGGATAGACAGATGGGTGCAAATTAGATACACACTCCAGACCAACCCATTTTTATTTATTGCTTGACTGATGCAATCTAAACAGACAATTCTGAGGGGTTTGGTGTCATTTGCTTACTAAGTAAGTTTGAATGGAGTGTCTGCTGAAGGACAGGCACCATACCATACTTGAGCACTCCGGCAGGTACACCACAACCCCCATCTCTGCTTTTGAGAGCTTTTATAAGCCCATAGAGAAGGTAAGAACTGAGCAACATCCCAGGGCAAATGCAGTCAACTCTAACATATTAGGATGCTGTCTGTTGGGGTAGGGGTGGGGCTCAGTTGCCTAGAAGTGTCTGAAAGCTTCCTCAGGGAGACTGTGTGGCAGTGGAGTCACACCACCACCTGCTTGAGCTTGTGCACCTCTCTCCACGGAATTACAGCACTTGGACAGGTTGCTGTGTCTGTATGCGTGCCCTCCTGTGTAAAGAGGAAAATTCACAATTGGCGGCATGCTGTGGAAATGAGAGGTAGCACTGTTTAAAACTTCTCTCAGAGTATCAGGTACACACACACACACACACACACACACACCAAGCTTAAGCACTTGGTGCTTGCCATCATTATATACCAGTGTAAATAGCAAGGGAAAACTAAAGAAAAGTTGAGGCAATAGCGAAAGATAAATGCATGGTGGGAATTTGCTCCTAATTCCAAGAGTAGCTGCACAGGCTTCTAGCTGTGTTTTAGCTGTCCTGTCGACTGCCTAGCAGTATATAATAATCTTAGGCTCTCCCAAGTACTGTTTCCATGAGTTGTTTGGGGGAAAAAAAAAGAAAAAGAAATAATTTTGAGGGCTGATTTCTAGCTGCATTTTTAGCTGAGGCTCGGATCAGATTTTCAAGGGACAGCAGGATACCTGAGAAGCAAATCCCCGGCAGAGGACATTAGGTTAGTCAGACTTTGGCAGGCTCCAGTGTCAAGTGTTTTACGGCAGATGGGAGTGGGAGTAAGGGCTGCCTGAATCCTCAACTGAGGCTTTTAATTCAGGGTCCAGTCCTGGTGCTAAGTGAAAAGGACCTAGAAGAGGGGACCCTGTGCGCAGGACATCAGGAAGCTGGGTCCCACCCCTCCACACCCCTCCCCGAGGCCTCCGAGGTGTTCCCTCCCCAGGCCTCCCAGGATCTTGGATTCTGGTCACCTCCGCACCCTTTGGATGGGTGTGGATGATTTCAAAAGTGGTCATGACCCCCCCAGCCGCCAAGGGGGAAGCCAGCACGGAAATGGGAGAGCGCGCGGATGGGAGGGCGGGGAGAAGAAATGGCTAGGGGAGGGACGCAGGGGAGGAGTGGGAGGGATGGAGCGCTGTGGGAGGGTACCGAGCCCTGGCGCCAGAGGCTAAGCAGGGCCGGGTGCCCGGGCCGGAGCTCTCACGTCTGCGGGTGGTCCATCCAGGTGAGATGCGGCTGCTGCTGCTGCTGTGCCTCTGGTGGCTCTGGGGGCCGCTCAGTGCCCTGGCCCAGGGCGCCCCAGCGGGGACAGCTCGGGCCGAGGACGTGGTGGACTTGGAGTTTTCTACCGAGCGACCGCTCCATCTCGTGAGTCCCTCGTTCCTGTCTGTCACCATCGACGCCAACCTGGCCACCGACCCGCGGTTTCTCACCTTCCTGGGGTAAGTGCAGCCCTCGGTCCTATCCCCTCGCCCGTCCTCCAGTCCTCTCTCCTGTCCTCTCACACTCTCGAGGGCCAGCTACTCTCTTTGCTGAAGCAACTTTGCGTTTAGTCTCCCAAGCATCCCTCTCTTGTACCCCCCACCCCCCACCCCAAAGCCTTTTCCTGTTTCATTTACTCAGCGCTTGTTGCTTGGACACCAGCCAAAGCCCAGGTTAAGACAAGGTTTGAAGGAAAAAACCCAAAGCTGTCTGTCACCAGCCCCAGCACTTCAGCTGGAGTCTTTGAATTTGCCTCAGTAGAGGACCAGTAAGCTGGTGTCCTTTAAACTCTCTTAGGAAATTTAGATTTTTAAAAAAGAACGAAAAAGTCATATAAAAAAAAAAACTCTATGGAGAACAACTGTCGCTCATCTTGCTGCTTTTTAAGCATTTAAATATACGGGCACTGGGTGTTCAATGGAATGTGTGACCAGCGTACAAGTTAGAGCCAGACTGGACCAAATGCAGGGAGGGGAGCAGAAGTGGAGAGGAGAGAGAAAAGAGTATGCCACCATGCCTGAGATTGCATGGTGTTTGTAATCCCAGCATGTGGGAAGTGGAGGTAGGAGGACCAGGAGTTAAAGGCCATCTTTGGCAACAAAGCAAGTGTGAGGCCAGACTGGACTAAATTGGCTTAGGGGTGGGGTGGGGGGTGGGGAGGGGATAGGGAGAGAGAGGAGACAGAGACTAATTGGGGAAATTGGGGAGGGGACAAAACAGGGCAATGGGGGGGTATAATCAAAATACATTTTATACATGTTTGAAAATGCCATGATGAAACCCATTATTATCTATAATTAATATGTGCTAATAAACTTTTTAAAAAGCATATGTTTCTCCAAGATGAGGGTGCAGACTGGATGCTGCTTCATCAGCTGCAGGGCTTTCCCTTGGCCTGAGGAAACACATCTATTGCTTTTGCTACATGGGTGCAGACTGTCCCCAAGACAAGAGACACTAGGCACAGTCATAGGCCTCCAGAGATGACCACATCTTTGTTGTTTTGAGATGTTGTGTAACTGTTAGCTCAGGCTAGCCTTGAACTCATGGTCTTCCTGCCTCAGCCTCTTGAGTACTACCTTAGCTGACTATATCCTTACCAGCCCTTTAGGTTACCATTGTCAAGGGCCTAGACATCGATTGTATGTCCCAAGCCCACACTATCAGGCATAACCGTTGATTTCACATGGAGTCTCAGGGCTAAGAGTTTGACAGTCCAACCACTCTGGTTTTCTTCAGCGTGACTCATGGGATTTGTCTGATGGCTTGACAAGATAATAAGTACTTACTACAGTGTTTGAAGATTAAGCCAATTGTTTCTTCTTACCTAGCACATTCGAAATCCTGGGTTCAATCCTCAACATTACATACAACGAGGCATGGTGGCTCATGACTCTTATCCCGGCACTCAGGAGCCAAAGGGAGGAAGATCAGGAGTTCAAGGTCATCCTCAGCTACTTGGCAAGGCCAGCCTGGGCTACATTAGACTTGGTCTTAAAAAAATAAATTTAAGGGCCAATCATGATTTAATCCTGGCATTTGGGAGGCAACAATGAAGAAATTGAGGTTATGGGAGACCTCATGGTCAACCAGCTAGCAATTAAAAGCAAAGGCAGACTATGATCATAAAAACAAAGGCATACAAAAAAGGAAACAAGCCAGCGATTATTTTTAAAGGAAACACAGCAGAGTATATTAGGAAAAGATTTTCTAGAAACAAACTGATAGACTGGTTAAAAAAAAAAAAAACAACTACCATTAACATACAGATAGGAGACTTGGGGCCCAAACCTCGGAGGTGCCTCCAAGGAAGATTAAACAAATGAACTGGGATGGTATGATTCTGTTACAAGCACTGGATGAATGGAAACAGGTCTCTCTCACATTTGAAAACAGAGAACAGACAGTACGAAAAATTTAAATGTTAATCTTAGAAGACTCTAGAATTGAAAAGGAACATCTGTTAAATTTCTCTTCCCTGGGGAAATTAGTCAGAATATATTCTCAGCCTGGATTAGTGAAGAATACCAAAGAGACCCCAGTCTCAGAAGCAACATGAATTATGGTGTGCGCCTCATCTGCAAGGCACAAATGTAATTTTAAAACCTTTTGGTAAATACATTTTACAAAAAGCAAAAAGGCTGAACATGATTGCTAGCTATAATCCTAGCACTTGGGAAGCAGAAACAAAAGGATCACATGCTCAAGGCTAGCCTGGGCTACATCGTGAGGCCCTGCCTCAAATAGCAAAGCATCAAAGAGCAAGCATAATCAGTAGGAAGAAGTGTGTGGATGCTAACATTTGGCAGTGCTGGGAACAGAGTCCAGGGCCTTGCACACTACACAGCTTGCTCTGACACTGAGCTGCACCCCCAGCCCAATATAAAAACAGTAATGAGATAGTTCGCATTCCCCTTGTGAGATCATGACTCTAAAATCTTGTGATTTACCTTTACATCATGTCTCAGGTCAGCCCAACTATACCTCAAGTGTCCAGCAGCTAGTGGCTACTGTGTTAGAGACTGCAGCTCTATTTGAAATAAGGCATATGCATATATGGCCATAATTTCTTCATTAAAATGAGACAATATAGTGCTGAGAATCCATAGAAATTCTAAGTTCTGCAGGGCAAAAGTGGCATTGAACAGCCGGGCGGTGGTGGCGTACGCCTTTAATCCCAGCAGTCGAGAGGCAGAGGGCAGAGGCAGGAGGATCTCTGTGAGTTCGAGACCAGCTTGGTCTACAAGAGCTAGTTCCAGGACAGCCTCCAAAGCCACAGAGAAACCCTGTCTCGAAAAACCAAAAAGAAAAAAAGAGAAAAAAACCCAATGAAAGAAACAAAAAGTGGCATTGAACAACTGTCTTAGGGTTTTTTGTTTTTTGTTTGTTTGTTTATTTTGCTTTTTCCAAACAGGGTTTCTCTGTATAACAGCCCTAGCTGTCCTGGAGCTAGCTTTTTAGACCAGGCCGGCCTCAAACTCACAGAGATCTACCTGCCTCTGCCTCCAGAGAGCTGGGATTAAAGTCATGTGCCACCATCGCCCAGCTTAGTTAGGGTTTCTATTGCTGTAATGAAATACCATGACCAAAAGTCAAGTTGGTTTGGTAGTTTGAATGTAATTGGTCCCCATAAATCTCATAGGAGTGTCACTATTAGGAGGTGTGCCCTTGTTGGAATGGGTATGGCCTTACTGGTGGAAGTGTGTCTCTGTCGGGGTGGGCTTTGAGGTTTCCTATGCTCAGCCCACTTCTTGTTACTTCTCGCCACCTCTGCCTGCATGCCTCCTTGTTCCCTGCCATGATAATAATGAACTGAACCTCTGGAACTGTAAGGGAGCCACTCCATTTAAATGTTTTAATTTATAAGAGTTGCTGTGGTTATGGTGTCTCTTCACAGCAATAGAAACCCTAACTAATGCAGGGAAGAAAGGGTTTACTTGACTTACACTTCCAGATCATAGTACATCATTGGAGGAAATCAGGACAGGAACTCAAGCAGGGCAGGAACCTGGAGACAGAAGCTGATGCACAGGCCATGGATTGGTGCTGCTTACTGGCTTGGTCCTTCTGGCCCACACAGCCTGCTTCCTTATAGAACCCAGGACCTCCAGGGATGGCACCACCCACTCTGATGCACAGGCCATGGAGTGGTGCTGCTTATTGGCTTGGTCCTTCTGGCCCACTCAGCCTGCTTCCTTATAGAACCCAGGACCTCCAGGGATGGCACCACCCACCATGGACGGGGTCCTCCCTCATTGATCACTAATTAAGAAAATGCCTTACAGTTGGATCTTGTGGAGGCCTTTCCTCAACTGAAACTCCTTCCTTTCTGATGACTCTAATTTGTGTCAAGTTGACCCACAAAACCAGCCAGTATAATAACAAAGCAAAAAATGTGGGTTTTGCTTGCTTTGCATAGTAATTTACTTCTTTTTCTTCAGCAAACATTATTTTTTGACATTTCAATAACCATTTTTGGTGGTTTGAAGGAGAATGGCCCCCAAAGGGAGTAGCACTATTAGGAGTAGGTGTGGCCTTTTTCGAGTAGGTGTGGTGTTACTGAAGGAAGTGTGTTACTGTGGGTGTGGGCTTTGAGGTCTCCTATGCTCAAGCTACTCCCAGTAAGACAGTTCACTTCCTGCTGTCTTCTGATCAAGATGTGGCCAGCAACACCGTGTCTTCCTGCTTGCTACTATACTCCGCACCATATTGATAATAGACTAAACTTCTGAACTTTAAGCCACCAGCTCAGTTAAATGTTTTCCTTTATAAGAGTTGCCACTGTCACAGTGTCTCTTCATAGCAGTAGAAACCTTAACCAAGATACCATTCACTAATAATTTTAATAATTAAATTCCCACATCTCTATTGACAGCTGCTTTCTGCATTTGGAGAAGCATTTGTTACCAATATGAAGCTTGTGGTGAAATAGCCAGTTGTGTTGGCTACTTTTCTTTTGCTGTGACAAAATACCACAACCAAAGGCAATGTAAGGAAGAAAGGGTTTGTTTGGACTTACTGTTTCAGAGAGAGTCCATGATGGCAGGGGAGGAATGGCAGCTGATGGTCAGAATAGGAAGTAACACAAAGCAAAAAGAGGTTCTGGAGTGGGTGAGGCTAGGTGATCTCAAAGCCACCTCTAGTGGCATACTTCCTCTAGCCAGGCCTTATATTAAAACTCTCCAAACAACACTGTCTTCTGGGGACCACATGTTCAAATAAGTGTGCCTCTGTGGAGCATGTATCATTCCAATCACCAAACCTGTGTGCATAGGGCCACAGGTCCCCTATTACTGCGACAGGTCATTTTGACTGCAGAGAGACAAAGAACAGAGAGCAACCATAGGCCTAATCCCTGAGAAGTCCTGTCCTCTGATTGACCCCTGGTTGTCCCCTTTCCTCCCAAGCCATTCCACCATGCTCCCTGGAGCCTTGAGCTTGGTAACCCTGTTATTGTTCTCATAGAGTATCGTTTACCCCTATGCCCAGCTAACACAAGGTACTTCCCTGAAGACTCCTCTTCCTCTGTAGACCTGTGGAGTATGAGTCGTGTATTCTCTCATACTCCATTCCTGTGCCTACTACTTCTAGACAATGATTCATTAGTCTGCATGCAGACTGCTGTAGTTCAAGTCCCTCTTGGCTTGTTACCTCTGGTGAGTTGGCTTAGCTCCTTTTTGTTTAGGTTCTATATTTACAAAGAGAGAATAATAATGACACCCACGTCACTGTGATGTCAGGAGACTGAAAAAAAAAAATCCTTCCAACCTGCCTAAAGCGCTGGATGAAACTGGTGTGTTTTAGAGGTGGTTGCTGTAATACCAGTGTGCGGTTCCCCTCCAGCTCACATTCAACCTTTGCCATTCACTGTTTCCCTAGTCTCCATATTGGTTAAAACCCGGCACTGCTCTCTGTCCTGAGTCCCATTATCGTCTTAGGTGACATCATGTTTATCTGAAAAAAACAAATCTCTCAATTTCTCTGTCCTGACCCTCTCAGATAATTGTTACTCAGCGTTGGGCCAGTTTGCATCACCCCATGAAATGCGAGCATTTCTTTTCAACACCACATTCTGTGGCATCACACCGATACCTTGGAAACAGTGACAGTGGAAATATTTACATCATGGAAAGTGTCAAGCACTGTGAACCAGGGTGCTTTTTTGCTGACAGTTGGTTGTTATCACATGCCACTCTACTCCGTTTCAACCTGCAAACATTGTGACCATGTCTTGACTCTCTTCGTCTCCAGAAACATCACTTCTGTATGTGAAAACTTCAAACACCAACTTCATGCTCTTGGATCACAACTCCATGCCTTCTCCATTCCTTCATGTTATAGCAAAAGTAAATCCTCAACATGCCTGCCTTTTAAAAAGCACCTCCCTGAGCAGCTGCCTTCTCTCGATCTCTTCCATATTTGAGCTTTTTGATTTATCATCCAAACCATTCTGTGATAATAACCTCTACTTCTGCCTCATTGCTCTTACTGAAATGCCAGCTGTCACTTAGTTCATCCGTTTCCTTCTTTTGGAATCTCTGGGGTGGCCCTTAAATCTGGAAATAGAAATATAATAGCATTTATTGCATATTAATAAGCCACCTCTGCTCTGTTAAAGATAAGCAATGTATTTTTGCCCTTAAGGTAAAATAAAAACACCTGCAGACTGTTTTGTGTTTCGTATTTTTTTTTTCCTTGACAGCCTCCTCTGGAAAGGGAACAGCTGCAGCTGCCTTACACATTCTTTTATTTCCATGACACTGTGGTGGCGGGTAGTTCCCCTTTCTTTCTCCTGCATATTATTGAAATACTGTGCCTTTGATCAATTTTGTTTTTATGGCAAGTTTTGCAGCTGTGTTAAATCTGTTTTTTTTTTGTTTTTTTGTTTTTTTTGGTTTTTTTTTTTTTGGTGAGAGGGCATCAATATTGTGTTCTAAGAGCACAAAAGGTACTTTACTGCAAAGTAGACAGACAAAAAGGTTTTTCCTAACGAAACTCCAAGACATATGACTTGCTTGATGGCAATGAGTTTTATAGTCATCTTGTCCAAAAATGACCAACAGTCATTGGCTGGCCTCCCCTTGCCCTTTCTCAGGCTGACTTTCTTTGTTCATTCATTCACTTAGCAAATATTGGCTAAGCATTGCTGTGTGCCAAGCATTCATGTAAGCACTGGGAAGAATCTGATAGACCAGACAAGGTCCCTGCTCTTAAGGAGCCAGTACCAGGGACAGCAGCTAGGAGAGAGACAGGACAGTGAAACACATGAGGAAACTGATTTCAGGACATGAGGCAGGTTGGGTTGATGGAGAGTGACCCATGATATTGTAGTCCATATCATGGACAAGGCTTTGATCCACGTGTATCTGAACCAGGCCATCATATGGTATTACAGCTCCTTTCCCCTCCAGTTCCCAAGGGACACCGATCTCTTGCCCAGTCTCAATTATTTACAGATATAGTAGCTACTTAAATCTAAGTGGATCTCTTCTGTCATGATACAAAACAAAAATGCCAAGAACGAGAACCAATGCCTGGCCAAAGTCAGTGCGATGGCATGAGGCCTGAGTGACTCTAAGGAAGTCCTTTGCATGAGCTTTTGGGCTGTGTATTGGCATTCATGGACTGTGTGATTATTATTATTATTATGTTTTGTCTTCATTGAGGCCTTTGCTCATAATTGCTATATTGAAATACTTGTCTTACACTTGAGCTAAATTCCGGAGGAGGCATGTTGTCTTGGCTGTTCATGTTTATGCTTCTGCACTGGGCTCTAGGCATCTGGAGTGATGACATTCGTGTGTTTCTTTGTGTAGATATCTGGTCTCACCTTTGCTGACTAGGTGTACGGTTCTTTGGTTGCTTTTACTCTAATCTGACCAGGTTGTGGACCAGCAGAGTGACACTTGGTTTTCAGTCTGAAGCCACTCTGGGTTTCAGTGTTCAGACACTAACTGGTCCCATGTCTGAAGGTCTGGTTGGAATTCTGGGTTCATTCTCTGAGCAGTCCCAGATTGGTGAAGGGGGTGGTCTAGGCTATGAGTGGGGGAAGGGACCCACTCTGCAGGTCCCCTCAGGGGAGTTTGGGGTCTGGCTCCACCGGATGTGGGCAAAAGCAGAAGTAGGCATATCTTGGGTCAGCCAGGATGGCTGTGAGTACCAAAGGGATGCAGATGGGCTGGGAGTGGGGTGGTGTGGATAACAGTGCTGGGACTAGGGGTGCTCTAGAGATATTAGAATAGGGGAGGGAAGGAGATCACCTGGGTCCCTGCCAAGTGTAGTTAATGGCTGTGAGGTTCCTGGAGGACATCAGGTCTGCAGTCTAAGTGTGACTAATCATTGACTTTATACTGAGGAGTCCCCAGGACATATCCGCCAACCGAGACATGTTTCTTGAGTTCCATTCACACGTGGCTTGTGGATCTGTGGGTTCAGTATCCATTTATATATTAGGTAGTTTGGTCAGCTGCTGTGACAAATGCCTGACAAGAGCCAATTAGGGGGAAACATTTGTTTCAGTGTGCTCATCTGCTCATGGATATCATGCTGGTGCTGGTGGAGCCTGAGGCAGCTGGTCACGTGGCATCTGTACAGAGAGAAGAGACATGAATATTGTCATGCTGGTGGAGCCTGAGGCAGCTGGTCACGTGGCATCTGTACAGAGAGAAGAGACATGAATATTCACTTTCTCCTTTTTATTCAATCTGGGACCCCAGCACATGGGATGGTGTCACCAACATTTAGTGTAGATCTTACCTCCTCCATTAAACTTTTCTGGAAATACGCTCAGACATACCTGGAGTGGTTTTAAATTCATGCAAGTTGACACTGAAGGATTAGGCCCCACGGTTGGCATCTCAGCTTCTACACATTCTTCTGCCCTTTCTTCCTCCCCCTTTCCAACTGATGACCTGTTCCTCATCTCAGCAGATGACAGTGCCATCTTCCAAGACACTTCCCCAAACTCCTGACCCAGTTGATCACTGAGTCCTTTATTTCTGTGGATAAATACATCTCGAACTGTTCACCTCTCTTCTCAACACCCCCCCCCCCGGGGCAGATAGCAGCTAGAAGTTAAGGAGTAGGTCCACTAAGAAAGAAGGAAGTGAAAATGTTTAACTGGGCCTTCTCAGAAAATAATTACAAGCCGGAATGGTGGTGCATGCCTATACTCCCAGCATCTGGCACAAAGGCAGAGGGACTCCAAGTTTGAAGCAAGCCTGGGCTACATAGTAAGATGTCTCAAAAAACTAAAATAATAATAATAATAATTATCATTATCATTATACTTTCTTGCTTGTCTTCATAACAGCTCTCCAAGGCTCCGCACTTTAGCCAGAGGTTTATCTCCTGCATACTTGAGATTTGGTGGTACCAAGACTGACTTCCTTATTTTTGATCCCAAGAAGGAACCAACTTTTGAAGAAAGAAGTTACTGGCAATCTCAAGTCAACCACGGTGAAACTTTGAAAAGCTTATATATTTTAGTTAACTTGTACCAGTCACGAGAATGCTTAGGGAAGAGTGTTATTGTTCAGAAGTGATGTGAGACATCAGATGTCTATTAAACCCAGTATTTGAACAATTGTGAGATACATTGTATACTTCTTCACATGTGTATTTTGTCTATGTGAGTGAGTAGCATTTAGTTAGTTCATATATTCCATATTCCTTACGACTCACTTTCTCCAGTGAGAAAGTAGTCAGAGCAGTTAGTCAGTCCCCAATTGGAAGAGTGGTGATTCCTGCTTTAAGAAGTTCCAGGACTTTGCTCAGCCTGGCTCTTGCCCACCAGTCATATGCAGTCCCGATCCTTTTTGACCATTTGGCTTTTCTCTGCATTTATAATCTAAGTTTAGATGGGACACCGATCTTCCCACCTCACTTTCCCTCATCCTGGGACAACTTGAAGGGCTCCCTGGGATCCCTGAAACTCCTGAGGCACCCTATGTGAGCCCTGAGATAGAAAAGGGATTCTGTCAGCTGGTCACAGGGCGGCTTCCCAGAAAGGAAGTCATCAGCCAGTCTCAGCTGGTTCTGCCACCAAGTATTGGCAACCCTGCTGTCTCGTGATAAAACAGTGCAGGCTTCCTGGGAGGGGAGTGGGGTGGCTCCCATGAACACCCCGTGGTTCCAAGAGCCTGGATAGTACCAGCCTTCAAGGGAAAACAGTTAGGAGTTCACCAGTTTGGGCCCATTAGCTCTAATTCATCACAAAGGAAATCACTACACAGCAAATACCATCCAGGTATAGCAACTTTCTATGTGTTTAGATTATTTTTATGTGCATGGTGTTTTACCTGTATAAATGTGTTCAGCGCATGTGTACCTGGTGCCTTAGGAGGTCAGAGAGGAGGTTGTATACCCTGGAACTGGAGTTACAAACAATTGTGAGCCACCAAGTGTGTCCTGAGATTTGAACCCAGGTCTTCTGCAAGAACCCCAAGTGCTCTTTTTTCCTCTCCCCTCCTTTGTTTTTTTGAGATAGGGTTTCTCTGTGTAGCTTTGGAGCCTGTCCTGGAACTCACTCAGTAGACCAGGCTGGCCTCAACCTCATAGAGATCCTCCTGCCTCTGCCTCCTGAGTGCTGGGATTAAAGGTGTGTGCCACCAACGCCCAGCAGCACCAAGTGCTCTTAACTGCTAAGACATCTCTCCAACCTTTGTTGTTGTTTTGTTTTTAAGGCAGAGTCTTGATATGTAGTCAAAGCTGGTCTCAAATTCATGCCAAACCTCCTGCAACAGCATCCCACAGGCTGAGATGACAAGTGTATGCCACCACAGCCATTTTGAAAATGAACTTTCACTTTTGAGCTGAATTCAGACTTCCACATCCAATTCTCTGATACATTCAAGCTGCTGAGGGGATTTCTGAATTAGTCAACGATTTGAAATCATGTCCAGTGTTCCCTGTTAGTAAACAATTTAGGGAAATTGCCCTTTGGTTGTTTCCTTGGCAGTTAGCCAACAAATGTGGCACATGTAACAATATAACTTTCTTGGATCTTGTACTTAGTGGCCAGAAACTTAATCACCTGTCTTAGCTATAATATTTGACTAAGTGGTGTCCCTGACTGAGTTCTTCTCTCTTCTACTTGTAGATGTTTGCCGGTCTGAACCCGTCTCTCCTGACGTGATGAGGAGACTCCAGGAGGAATGGCCTTTTCTGGAGCTGTTGCTCCTCAAAGAACAGTACCAAAGAGAGTTCAAGAACAGCACCTACTCAAGTAAGAAACGCAAGCGCCTGCAGGTGTTCTAGACACAGGCATGTTCGGAGGGGCTGCACTTGGACTTTAATAACCCCTATAGCAACATAGAAAGTGGTGCAGTGTTTAGATGCTATCAAGGGTTAATGAGGAGTGTGGAGGGATGGCGCAATGGGTAAGGTGCCTGCTACGCAAGCATGAGAATTCCCAGCATTCACATGAAACTCTGTGTGTGTGTGTGTGTGTGTGTGTGTGTGTGTGTGTGTGTGTGTGTGTATGTGTTTATATGAGTAACCCCAGTACTGAGACAGGTGGATCCCCAGAGCTAACTGGCCAGCTGGTCTAGTCAGTTAGTGAGTTTCAGGTTCAGGGAGAGACCCTGTCTCAAAAACTAAAGTGGGGGCTGTCGTGGTTAAGAGCAGTTAAGGTGGCTCAGTGGTTAAGAGCACTGGCTGCTCTGGGCAGTGGTGGTTCACGCCTTTAGTTCCAGCACTCAGGAGGCAGAGGCAGATGGATCTCTGTGAGTTTGAAGCCAGCTTGGTCTACAGAGTGAGTTCCAAAGCTACAGAGAAGAAACCCTGCCTCAACTCTCCTGTCCCCCCTCCAAAAAAAAAGACCTGATCTTCTGCCTGCTCTTCCAGAGAACAGGGGTTTGATTGCCAGCACCCACATGGGTGACTCACAACTGCCAACAACTCCAGTTCCAGGGGGTCTGACACCCTCTTCTACCTTCTGTGGGCACCAGGCACTCACTCATATGGAACACAGATATAAAAAAAAAAAAAAAAGGATGAAACAAAAGACAATGTTGACCTCTGACTCCATAAGCATGTGCATACACATACATGGCACACAGGAACACACATACATGTACACACAGAGTTAGTTAATGAGAGAGGACGGCATATAGCTCAGTGCTAAAGCACACTCTGAGAATGTGTAAGGCTCCGGCTTCAGTAACCCTCATCGAGAAAAGAAGAAAAACTATTTGTGGAAGACCTTGAACCCAAAGCTCGTGTGGCTTTTTCCTTGACTTCTGATTGTCAGCTGGCCACAGAGTGGGATTCAGAAACCAGCCATGATAGTCAAGACATGAACATAGTCTTCCTGCAAAAGTAAATATGGAAGTGTAACATACAAAACTCACCCACACTTCCTTCTGCTTCTCCTCAAAGAAGCATGGAAAAACCCCAGGGTTGAAAATCCTGAATCTGAAAGTCCAAAATTTGAAATCCTCCAAAGTCCTCTGTTTTGAGTCTTGGTTGAACTAGAGACATGCAGTTTGAAAGACTGCAATACTCCCAAATCCAAACACATGTGGGCTGCGAAATGCTTTGCATCCAATCATTCCAGATAAATATTTGACCTGACTATATATCCTTTGTTTTATTTTGTTTTGTTTTTCGAGACATGGTTTCTCTGTTACTCCCAAATCCAAACACATGTGGATTGTAAAACGCTCCGGATCCAAGCCAGATAAATATTTGACCAATCCATATAACTTTTTTGTTTGTTTGTTTTACAAGACAGGGTTTCTCTGTGTAGCCCTGTTGCTCTGTAAACCAGGCTGGTCTAGATCTCACAGAGATCTACCTGCCTGGGCCTCCCAAGTGCTGGGATTAAAGGCGTGGGCCACCATACCCAGATCTTATAACTTTTTTAAATGCTCTTATTGCTAGTTACCCCCCGCCACGTCCCCATCTCCCACCCCAATTTAACCCTTTCTGTTCCATTCCCCTTTACCTCTTTATACCACTGTGTCCCCCCCCCCCCCATAGGGTTTCTCTGTGTAGCTTTGATGCCTGTCTTGACACTAGCTCTGTACACCTCAAACTCACAGAGATCCACTGCTTCGGCCTCCTGAGTGCTGGGATTAAAGGCATGCGCCAACAACACCCAGCCCACCTGGAAATCTTTAATGTTATTGTTGGAATTGTTTTTCGGTGCCACAAGTCACATCCAAAGAAGACAATGAACTTAATTGATAAGTTAACGGTGTATGTTGACTGGCCCACCTACTCACTGTTTCCTGCCCCTTCTCTCTTGCCCTCTGTTTCCTAAGAGACAGACATACTGGGGGTTGGCCAAGTCATAACTCACAGTAGCCTCTGATTACACACATGAAAAAAAATAAGAGTCACACATCTTTCACTCTAAGTCAAAATCTAAATTAAATAGTAAGGGTGGCTTATCCAACACTGAGGTAGACTGAACCCTTGGCCTCTTATACCAAACAATTAGCCATGCCCTTGAGTGCAAGAGGAAGGTTCTTTAAGAGAATTGGGAGCTCTACTCCAGTGAGCATGTGGATGACAGAAAGGTGAAACAGCTTTATGGGAGGTTTTAGTGGTTAGGATGGATGTTCATAGCAGCCACAGTGCTCCCTTTGCCCAGGGCAGAGCAAACCCTGGCGCTCCTCAAGGGGGAAAACATAAGGACACTTCAGGAGACCTTAAAGGGGCCGAGGGGTGCCGAGAGGCAAAGCAGCACACATGCTGTAGCCACAGGAAATTATCCAAAAGGTCTAATAAGGTGGTTGGTGAAGAAACTTCAGAGTTTCAGTGTAGCAGTCTTTTTTTTTTTTCTTTTTTTTTTTTCCAGAGCTGAGGACTGAACCCAGGGCCTTGTGCTTGCTAGGCAAGCACTCTACCACTGAGCTAAATCCCCAACCCCTGTAGCAGTCTTTTATTCTGGAAGATACCATCTAGGACTTCCATAGCTGAAGAAGAGAAGTCGACACTGGCTTTAAGCCTTCAGTGGGAAGCTGACTTTCTTTGTTGGGTCTAGGGTCTTGAAATGATGGGGGACAGACCAAAGTCTATTAAACCAGAAGAAAGCTTTATTACAGAAAAAGAAAAAAAGCACCTTGGGGCACAAAAAGTTTATCAGCTATAAGCCATGACCACAGACAGAGTTCGGGCTTCTGAAACTGTGGCAATGGGGGCTGGTTTTGGGCTTCTTCTTATAGTAAAACCCAACACCAGGTATGGGTCAAAGAGCTTTTACAACCTTCAGGTCAGGCTTAAAGTCACATTACATTTTAAGTTTTACAACTTTTGGTTATAGGATGCTAGGATGTTAACTTAGGATGTTTGTGAAAGCTTGTGGCAGATACAGATGCTTTTTGCTGTCCCCGAAAGAATGCAAGGCAGAGAGTAGAGTCACATAGGACAGTTAAAAGTTAAGGGAATACAATGTAGAGGGGTCTCATAGAGGCAATAGTTAGAAGCTAACCTGTGTCTGCTGTGGTGGTATTTTGTTTATGATCTAACAAAAAAGCTTGCCTGAAGATCAGAATAATTCAGTGAGACTTTATTGATTTATTTATTTATTTATTTATTTTTGTTTTTCGAGACAGGGTTTCTCTGTATTGCTTTGGAGGTTGTCTTGGAACTCGCTCTCCAGGCTGACCTTGAACTCACAGAGATCTACGTTCTTCTGCCTCTGCTTCCTGAGTGCTGTGATTAAAGGCGTGAGCCACCACTGCCCAGCTTTTTTTTTTTTGGGGGGGGTGCCTTTTACCTATACTTCAGATTGAAAGGGCAATCTGTCTCTATGAATCCTCAGACTGCACTGAGCTCCTTTCTCTTCCTGCCTTATATTCCTTTCTCTGCCCAGCCATATCACTCCTGTCTCCACCTCCCTAATGCTGGGATTAAAGGCAAGTCACTCCAAGTGCTGGGATCAAAGGTGTGAGCACTGTTTCTCTTTTAGACTGGATCAATTTCATGTAGCTCAGCATGGCCTTGAACTCACAGAGATCCATCTGCCTCTGTCTCCTGAATGCTGGGATTAAAGGTGTGGCCACCACAGACTGGCCTCTCTGTCTGTGGCTATCTTTGCACTCTGATCTTCAGGAAAGCTTAATTTGTTAGATCATAAATATCACCACAGTCTGCCGTACCTGCCAAGCTGGGAGGCAGGAGACAATTGTTAAAAGTTTCCCTCTGTACACAGTGGCTGCCATGATGTCTGCTCTTAAGGCAGAAAGTGGTTGTTGAAGGTTAGCAGTGGCTGCCAGCTTTATTTTTTTTCCAAAATGTGTCTGGGCTTACAATGCTATATTTCTATATTCATGAGCCCTTCATTTCTATATTCCTGTTTCTGGAGCCTTCATCTATTTTTCACTTTTTTATTATTTTTAATTACTCATATTTACATATCCATCCCCTCATTCCCTTGCCCTCCCCTCCTCCCATGTCCCCCACCCAACCTACCCCAACCTCCCCACTACCTTCTCTCCAGGGATAGTGAGGCCCTCTACCAAGGACTTCAAAGTCTGTCATATTGTTTGGGGGAGGGTCTGGACCCTCCTTGCTGTATCTGGGCTGCAATAGTATCCCTCCATAGGGAATGGGCTCCCAAAGTCCATTTGTGTTCTAGGGATAAAGACTGGCTCCTTTGTCAGAGGAGCCATAAACTGTCTTTGGTGGAGCCTTCATCTTAAAGTTAGGGACTAACGCAGTTGGTGACTTTAAGTTGAAGTCATTGCTCATTGACTAGTTCAAAAAAAAATTCTCAGGCCCTCAGTCACTGTGCTGAGCTATAGGGATTCCTTTATAGGGATGACAGAAAGAACTAGAAAAGTACAGTGGTAAGGTCTTATTTGTAAGAAATCATGATATGGGTATATGAGGAGACCACATGGTACTAGGTAATAAGTGAATTTACATTTTGAGGGGTCATATTAAATATCGTACTAGTTTGTCTTTAGTTTGTGAAACAGATTAGCTAGGATTTATATGTTACCAAGGCCATGTGTTGGCAGCATCTTTCCCACCTCTGCAGAGATGGCCTCCTCTTTCCATCGTGTAACTGGTTTAGCATAGTCCAGCCACTTGCTGGTTGTGATAAAATGTACACACACAGAAGAGATGTCCTAGAAAACACAGAGCTAACCTTCCTAACACAGGTCCTCTTGAATCTGCTTAAGTTAGTGGTGGTCAACCTTCCTAATGCTGTGACCCTTTAATACAGTTCCTTGTGTTGTGGTGACCCCCAACCATAAAATTATTTTCATCGATACTCCATAACTGTAATTTTGCTACTGTTATGAATTTTAATGTAAATATCTGTGTTTTCCAATGGTCTTACATGACCCCCATGAAAAGGTTGCTAGACTCCCAAGTGGATCATAACCCACAGGTTGAGAACTACTCTCTTAAGGACAAAAACCATTTGAATTGTAAACCTATTTGTGCAGAAGTTGCAGATGCAGTTCAGGACAAACTACAGAAGGGCAGCACTCTTTTATGCAATTCAATTTAAAGAGCCAGCATTTGGCTTCCTTTACCTCTACATTCCTCCTCACTGTCCCCATCCCCCAGCCCCCTCAAGATGCAGCCCTATGCCGAAGGCCTTGATGTTAATTTACACTGTAAACTAAAGGAAAAGACCCTGTTCTGTTTCTTTAATGTGTTGTCTAGTTTATGTTCATCCCAAAGATTTTCTCTCTACTTACACACACACACACACACACACACACACACACACACAGAGAGAGAGAGAGAGAGAGAGAGAGAAATATACAGTTTGCAGTAGGCTGTAGTGTCAGCGGTATGCTTTTGTTAAGTGCTTAGGGCTGTACTTCATCTTTGGTCTACCTGCATTACTAAGAACTGTGCTGGAACAGCCACCACAAACCCGGTGTGCAGTTAGGCAACACTTGTGTGGTTTGGACCTCTTAGGAAAGTGAGTGTGGAGGTTTGTGTGTGCTCTGTGATCCCCAGCTCCATCAAGGCTGTCCCAAACTGAGGCTGTAAGACCCAGTGGAATGCTAGGTGGCTGCACTCCAGAGTTTCTCAACTCTGGGATCCCAGTGTGTGTCATTCCCTACTGACTGGCCACAGTGCTGTGGAAGTGACACAGCAAATATCACAACTCTTAAGGCTCACTGGAGTTGTGCCACTTGGCAGCCTTCGTCAGCACCATTGAGCATGAGGCTTCACTGTTGTGATTATGAAGGTGATCGGAGCCAGACTTCACAGCTGAATAAAGCAAAGCCACTTTTTTTTCCTGAATTTTTTTTGTTTGAATTAGAAACAAGATTGTTTTACATGTCAATTCCAGTTCCCTCTCCCTCCCCTCTTCCCCTGCCCCTGCTCCAACTAACACCCTACCTATCTCATACCCTTTCTGCTCCCTAGGGAGAGTGAGGCTTTCCATAGAGGGTCTTCTGAGTCTGTCATATCCTTTGGGATAGGGCCTAGGCCCATCCTGTGTGTCTAGGCTCAGGGAGTATCCCTCTATGTGGGATGGGCTCCCAAAGTCCATTCTTATGCTAGGGATAAGTACTGATCTACTACAAGGGGCCCCATAGATTTCCAAGGTCTCTTCATTGACACCCATGTTCGTGGGGTCTGGATGATGATTTCCCAGCTATCAGTCTGCGGACCAAGAGCTCTCCCTTGTTCAGGTCAGCTGCTCCTGTGGGTTTCACCAGCCTGGTCTGGACCCAAGCAAAGCCACTTTTAAGGCAGAAGTTTTGACATTGACCACACAGAGAGGTGTTTGTTTCTAAATTAGAAGAGTTGTTGAGTGAATTTCTGCTGAATAATGATTTGAAAATTTACATGAAGATCTCAGAGGCTCAGTATGCCTATGACACCCAATTCAATTCAAAGACCACACTTAAAATCATGTTGTTGAGGCTGGAGAGATGGCTCAGTGGTTAGGAGCACTGGCTGCTCTTCCAGAAAACCTGGTTCAATTCCAAGCACCACATGGCAGCTCACAAACACCTGTAATTCCAGTTCCAGGAAATCCAACATCCTTTTCTAGTCTTTGAAGGCATTGTATGTGTGTGGTGGCACACAGACATACATGCAAGCATGTATGGGTGGTTGCTCATACACATACAATAAAAGTTTAAAAACTTAAGATTGTATTATTGACACTCTTAAAACACAAGGAGAAAGCTACATCCCAACACTTAGGAGATGGAGGCAAAAGAAGAAAATTAGAAGTGGAGGTCATCCTAAGCTGTATAGTTGAGTTTGAGTCCCAGGCTTCCTCCATGCTGGTTAACTACTCTACCAACTGGACTAGATCCCCAGCACAGGTTTTTCTTTTTTGATTTGTCTGTCTACTTGTGTCATTGCTTGGGCACAATGGCAGCCATTTATTAGGGATGGAATTACTTTGACTAAACAATATAAAGACATCTCATGAAGAGTGAGCCTGGGGGTAGTCTTCACTGTGGTGCCGACCTAACTAAACATCACCATTGTTCTTTTAGGAAGCTCAGTGGACATGCTGTACAGTTTTGCAAAGTGCTCGGGGTTAGACCTGATCTTTGGTCTGAATGCATTGCTAAGAACTCCGGATTTGCGGTGGAACAGCTCCAATGCTCAGCTCCTGCTGGAATACTGTGCTTCCAAGGGTTACAACATCTCCTGGGAACTGGGCAATGGTATGTACCCAGGAACATCTCATTCATAAAGGAATTCCCTCACTGTTTTGATATTATTTTCCACATTGGTAAATGCTAAAGGTCTTTTCCATAGACCTCTCTCTCAGCACAGTCATGCCAGTGCTCAACAGCAATGGAGCTGCATCAGCAGAAAGGTCCTCTGAATCCCAGAAGCTATTGATAACTCCAGTTTATGGGCATGTTGAGTGTGTGTGTGTGTGTGTGTGTGTGTGTGTGTGTGTGTGTGTGTGTGTGTGCGTCTGTCTGTCTGAAACATCTGTAAGATGAGACAGGACAGCAAAAGCCATGTCCAGTCAGGTGTTGTCCTCCATCAGCCCCACCTTGTTTGAGGAAGGGTCTTTTACTGAACTTAGAATTCAATGATTAACTGGACTGGATGGCCACCAAGCCCTGGGATTCCTGTCTGTTCCCCACAGCAGTGGGATACTACTGTGGTAAGCATTTCCTGTGGATGCCGGAGCTATGAAGTCAGGCCCTCTTGCTTTCCACAGAAAGCACTGTGCTCACAAATCCATCACCCTAGCCTTTATGTTGCTGGTGGTGGTTGTTAAGTTTTCTTTAAAAAAAAAGTTGTGTGTTGAGCCAGGTGGTAGTGGCTTTAATCTCAGCACTTGAGAGGCTGAGGAAGGCAGATCTCTGTGAGTTCAGTGCTAGCCTGGTCTATAAATTGAGTTCCAGGACAGCTAGGACTATACAGAGAAAGCCTGCCTCAAGCACCAGCCCCCGCCCCCGAAAATTGTGTATTGTATTATTGGCAGTGAGTGTGTGATGGGGAAAGGTCATGGGCCACAGCACACACATGTATAGGTCAGAGGACAATTTTGTGGAGTTGGTTCTCTCCTTCCACCTCTACAACGGTTCTGTGACAAATGTTTCACCAGCTGAGCCACCTTTTGAGCACATCCTTATGTTGTTTTTGAGGTAAGAAAAGCTACTGGAGCTATCAACTTCCCCAGCTCCCAGATTCCCTTGGCTTTTGCAGACTTTTAAATTTATTATTTTTAGCAAACAGAACTCTGCCAAATGGGAAGGGTGGCAGTTTGATTCTCTCCTTCCCTTTCTTTCTTTGGCTCTTAGTTTGTCAGGTAATCTCCATGTGGCGGTTTGAATGAGAAATGTCCCCATTGGTTGAGGTATGTGTACAACTTGGTGGCCTATTGGAAGAACTGTTTGTGGAGGGTAGTGCAGTCTTGGTAGAGGAAGTATGTCATTGGGAGCTGGCTTTGAGGGTTTATAGCCACACCCCACATTCAGTCTCTCTCTCTCTGTCTCTCTCTCTGTCTCTCTCTCTGTCTCTCTCTCTGTCTCTCTCTCTCTCTCTCTCTCTCTTCCTTTCTCTCTTCCTCTCTCTCTCTCTCTCTCTGTTCTGTGTGTGACGAAGATGTGATCTCTCGGCTTCCTGTGCAGACCACCCACTGCCATACCTCCTCTCTGGAACCATTAAGACAAAAGAAATTATTTCTTCCACAAGTTGCTTTCTTGTCTTTGCAACACAAATAGCTACTACACTCCAAACCCCACTCTAACCTCCATCAAATGCTCAAGCTGTCTAGAAGCTGCAGCATAGATTATAGATAACTGTGAGCCACAGGCGGGTCCAGGTCATATAGACAAGCAGCTGGTGTTCTCAACTGCTGATCCATCTCTCCAGTCTCAAGGAACTTACAAGTTCTAATATGCTAATGATTAGTCAGATTTATTCAAAAATAGATTTATAAGAATTTTCCATACCTCAAGCAATAAAACTGAATATGAAGTGCAAAATAAAATGCAGTCATTTAATGAGCACATGCTGTTTAGACAGGCACTGTTCTGCACATAAAATTCTTCTCCCTGCCCATTCTTTTTCTTTCTTGTGTATGTGCATGTGTGTGTGTGTGTGTGTGTGTGTGTGTGTGTGTGTGTGTGTGTGTGTACATTTGTGTGTACTTGTGCTCATATACATGAGCATGCAAAGGCTAGAGAACACCCGAAAGTGTCCTTCCTTGGATGCCTTCTACTTTTTTGTGCCTGAGAGAAACGTGGTCTCTCATTGGCCTGGAGCTCACCTTGTAGACTGGGATAGCTAGAGAGCAAGCCACAGAGATGGTGCATCTCTGCCTCTCCAGTGCTGGGTTTACAAGTGGGCCACCATGTCTGACAAACGAACCACCATGTCTTGGGTTCAGTCTCAGGTCCTTCTTGCAAGGCAGGTATTTTATCGATGGAGCTCTCTCTCTAGCCCCTCGTTTCCTTTTGTTCTTTGCTGGTAAATAAATTGGGCTACTAAATACTGTCTATAAACTATTTTCCAAATGCCCATTGGTTTAACATCTCTATTATTAACTTCAATTTGTTTACTCCCTCCTCATGCCATAATTAAGATGTTTCTGTTTCTAAACTCTCGAGTTTATTAACTGGGGGGTGGGGGGAGCGGTTCTTATGTCTTACTTTCCTTCTCTCTCTCTCTCTCTCTCTCTCTCTCTCTCTCTCTCTCAAAATTGAATTGGTGCTTTGCCTGCATGTATGTAAGTGTGTTGGATTCCCTGGAACCAGAGTTACAGATACAGTTGTGCATGGCCCTGTGGGTGCTGGAATTGAACCTGGGTTCTCTGGAAGAGCAGTCAGTGCTCTTAACTGCTGAGCCATCTCTCCAGCCTGTTTTCTTGACTTTCAGTTCTAGGTTTGCAGTTTGAAAACTGTTGGTTGTTGTGTTCTTGTGTCTAAATAAAGACCATTTAGATGAGAGGTGAGTGTGAGCATTGCTGTCTTCCAGAGCCCAACAGTTTCTGGAAGAAAGCTCACATTTTCATCGATGGACTGCAGTTAGGAGAAGATTTTGTTCAGTTTCGTAAGCTTCTACGAAAGTCAGCTTTCAAAAATGCAAAACTCTATGGTCCTGATGTTGGTCAGCCTCGAGGGAAGACAGTTAAGCTGCTGAGAAGGTAGGTTTTGGGGGATGTACAACTACTTTCTCCTTTTTTTATTATTTTTCAGGACAGGGCTTCTCTATGTAGTCCTGGCTGTCTTAGAACTTGCACTGTAGACTGGGCTGAGTGCTGGGATTAAAGGTGTGTGCCACCTTATTTTTTTAATACTGAAAAAAAATGTGTACTTAAAATAAGCCCTCCTAACGCAGTTTAGATGATTCCACTTTTGTTGACAATATCCAAAGCTTTGTGTGAGGAGGCAGTGGAGTGTGTGCCTTCTATCAGGGCTGGCCAGGGTATTTTTGGGCCCTATCAATGCCCTAGAGATTCCTCTCTGCCCATTTGATTTCACTCTTGTTGGTCTTGACATAAACAAGGAACTAGAGTGTGCTGATGACTTCTATTTTCCCATGACTGACCCAGTGGTCTGGGAGAATGAGATGATAGTCTAGGAGTCAAGCTTGTTTCTCCTGGGGATGCTGTCATAGAGGTGTTTGGATTGCCCAGGAGCTGTGGGCTGTGGGCTGTAGATGGTGGGTGACATGCAGCCTTTCTTTATGTGTTTGTTGGTGGATTCCTTTCATGGCCTTGACCCTGACTTCAGCTCTAAGAGAGATAGGGACTTCTTTGCTTTTGGTGCTCTCTTGGCAAAAACAGAATTCTTCTTAGAGGTCCTTTCCGGTGGAGAATCCCCTGAAGTCCACATTATTAAACAGTTCGCTGTTGTATTGTTTACTCAAAGAGGAAACATTGGCTTAAAATTCCAAGGATACGATTAGGATGTTTGTGTTGCCTGAGACTTACATCATACTCAGCCAATTCCAGGGAATGAAGCTCTTCTGAAAATTTGCATCTGCTTGTTTGAGGGTAAGTGAGCCCATTGAGGAACTTTTCTTCTAGTTTCCTGAAGGCTGGTGGAGAAGTGATAGACGCCCTTACGTGGCATCAGTAAGTACCCACATTAACTTAATATCCCCATTAATAACTTTGGTTTGTTTAATACCTTGCATGCCTCCATGATACAGTTATAATTACATTACTAATAGCAGCTAATGGGCTAGAGGGGTGGTGCTGTGGTTAGAACACTTGCTGCTCTTGCAGAGGACCTGGGTTCACAACAGCCTGTAACTCCCTTTCCAGAGGATCTAATACCCCTTTCTGGCCTCCAAGGGCACCACACACACGGTGAATATAAACTCATGCAAACACACATTTACACATAAAAATTAAAAATCCAGTTGGGTGTGGTGGTGCAAGTCTTTAATCCAGGCACATAGGAGACATAGACCAGTGGGTCTCTGTGAATTTGTGGCTAGCCTTGTCTATATAGTCAGCTCCAGGCTAGCCTAGGCTACAAAGTGAGACCCTTTCCCTAAATAAATAGACAAATAATTTAAAATATTCTCAAGGTTTGGTAGTAGCATGCATCTTTAATCCCAGCACTCAGGAGGCAGAGATAGGTGAATCTCTGAGTTTGAAGCCAGCCTGGGTGCCAGGACAGCCAGGACTACACAGAGAAACCTTGTCTTTTTTAATATGTGTTTGTTTTTGTTTTGATTTTTTGGGACAAAGTCTATGTATCCCTGGCTGGATATCCTGGACCTCTCTATGTAGACCAGGATGGTTTTGAAATCAGAGAACCCCCAGGCCTCCACCTCCCTAGTGCTGGAGTTGAAGGCAGGCAGTTCTGTGCCTGTTCTAGTTGAACTTATTGCCAGTTTTCAAGAAGTTATTTTTGCCTGGCTGCTGATTGACTTTGAACAACTCCATTAATAAGTGAGCAGCATCTCAAATATCACTACACAAGGATCTCAATGTTAATAAAACAAAGTGTAATGTTGCTTTAAATAATGCAGTAGTTACTACAAAGATAGAGGTACATGGCCAACTAAGCCATGAACCACAAAAGTGGGTAGGACCAGTTGCTGGCCTGTAGTTCTGTCAGTTTCTGCTTACAGTGGGATAGCTGATTTATAGTTACTTAGATAGGATGGTCCCTTCCTGATGCTAGCTTTTCCCTGGAAAGACTGCTACCTTTATAAAAACTAACAATGAGAAAGGGTTGGGAGAAGAGCGAGGTTCAGAGGTGACTTAACAGCAGGAAATAAACTGTAAATTTTTTTCTGGAAAATTTAGCTACTACTTGAACGGACGAATTGCCACCAAAGAAGATTTTCTGAGCTCTGATGTGCTGGACACCTTTATTTCATCTGTGCAGAAAGTTCTAAAGGTAATAGTCTTGCTAAATTTTTCACCCACACCAGTCTGTGGTATAGTCTAACGATGAGTTTACATGTACTGCCATTTTTTTTTCTGATTTTAAAGGGCTACAGAATGTCTTAGTGCCTGGTTTCCTCCTTAGCGCTGGATCTTGTTTAGTTGTAGTAATTAGAAATCAAAACACTTCTAATGGCCTTTCAGTAGAATTAACTGTTATAGACCATATTTGTTTATATGCCTTCTATAGCCTACTAAGCCCAGAAGAGATAGTGGCAAAGACCATTTGTAACTAACAGGATGGATGAGTCTGGAGAAGCACAGCTTTCCTGCCGTTCACATTGGGCACTGAGGTGGCTGACTTGTTTGCTGTGACTGTGGAACTATTCTTGTTCCCCAGGTGACTAAGGAAATGAGACCCGGCAAAAAGGTCTGGTTGGGAGAAACAAGCTCTGCCTACGGCGGTGGTGCACCCTCGCTGTCCAACACCTTTGCTGCTGGCTTTATGTGAGTGACCTTGCACCGGCTTTCAGATTCCAGCTCTTTTCCATCTCTAATGTCAGCCGAAACCCAGATCAACACAATTTCTCTGACAGAGCCCTAAAGTTTTGTTTCAGGCCTTACAAAAGAAAAAAGTAAATTTCCAGGCTCCAGAGATGGTTCAGTGGTTAAGAACAATGGCTACACTCCAGAGGACGGGGTTCAAGTCTCAGCACTCACGAGGTGGCTCACAACCTCCAGTTACAGGAGATCCAATGCCCTCTCACAGCCTCCACAGGCACCAGGCATGCACCTGGTGCACAGACATTCAAGCAGCCAAAATACTCATGCTCTTTTGTCTAAAATGCTTTGCTGAACCTTGTTGGACATCTTTAATTGGTGTCCCCAATCAATTATTTCAAGCATGAATTGTTTTAGGAAGTTTGGCTGGACATGATGGCACGCATTTGTAATTCTAGCTACTTGGGAAGCTGCGGCAGAGGGGATTACAATTCAAGATCTGATTTGGCTACAGAGTGAGTTCAAGGCCAGGCAGACAACTAAGTAAGATCTTATCTCAAAACACAAAAGTAAAATGAGGCCTAAGTGACGGAGCACATGCCTAGAATGTTCATAGGCCCAAGGTTTAACCCACAACAATGACGATGACAAAGAGGGGGAAGGGAGGAAAGATTATGCCCTAAAAATAGGTCAAAGAAATTGTGCTAATTAGCCTCTGTCACTGTGAAAAATACCTGAGATAAATATTTTAAGAGGAGAAAATGTTTACTTTGGCTCATTTCAAAGGTTTAGGCCCTTGAAGCAGGTGATGGAGGAAACTGCTCACCTCATGGGTGACTAGAAGCAAACGAGAAGGAACCAGGAGGGCCCGCTACCCTTTGAATTGCCTACTTCTTCCGACTAGGCATTATGGCCTCACACAAGCACCTTCAGCTGAGGCCAGGCTCCAACACACCAGTCTGTGGAGGCCATTTAAGGTCCAAACTGTAACAGGGCCCCTTCTCTAGGCAAGCTTGCTTGCTCTTTTCTAGGCACGGAAGCTTGCCTATAATCCCGGCATGTGGAAGTCCACAGCAGGAGGATGGGGGGGGCACATTGAAACCCTGTGGGGAGAGAGACAAGGCAGACAAGGAGAGGAAAAAGAAAGGAGAGGCAGAGGAGGAGAGGGAAGATGATAAAAGTTCTTCCAGAGTTTCGGCTCTGAGGATGCTTCATGCACACATAGCTGTATTGTACATTCTCTAGACTTTTGGCCCTAAAACACTTATGTCACACTTGAGGGTAACCTGTGAACTTCAGGATTGGCTGGGATACCTCGTCCGCTGCACAAATGTGGTTGGTTTAGACCAGGAGTTGCTTATATTCAGCATCTCACTGACTCCATGATCTTCATTCTGTAGCCCTACTGGGGCTTTTGTCCTCTTCCATTTTATTCTTTCATTGCCACAATCTTCCTTGTTATAAGTTAGAGAAAAACAAACCCTTCAATGTTCATGAGAGAATAAGGAATTGAGAAAAGAATGAAGAGTTTGCCGTTCACTGAAAGTGTGGGGGAGGTGATCATAGTGGTTTGGTTGTGGTTCTGTGTATGGCTCATGTTTTGACCACTGTTGACAGCTGCGTTCTCGATAGTCTTCACTCTGTGTGAGTGTGTGTGTGTGTGTGTGTGTGTGTGTGTGTGTGTGTGTGTGTGTGTGTCCCGACACACATTGTGGGGTTCAGGATCGAGGACACTGGAACTGGATAAGGAATTGTCTACAGGGGGTGGGAGTTTGATTCTGTTCTGTAGAAGTTGTTTTGCTCTCGAGGAAACTCTTCTGGCTTATTAATGTTGTTCTGATAGAGCATATGGGAGGGTGTGTGTGTGTGTGTGTGTGTGTGTGTGCTACTTTTGTCACCATGTCATTTGAATGACTTATTTGTAATTAATGCCATTCTTGTAGTTTCCTGTTGATTCCTCCCACACAGATGAACAAATCTATGTGTAATTAGAATGGAATGACTTTGTTTTCCAGTCTAAAAAAAAGCTCATGTCATTCTGTCCCAGGTGGCTGGATAAGTTGGGCATCTCAGCCCAGATGGGCATAGAAGTGGTGATGAGGCAGGTATTCTTCGGAGCAGGCAACTACCACTTAGTGGATGAAAACTTCGAGCCTTTACCTGTAAGTGACCTTACTTTCCTGTGACTGTGAATAGGTGGAAGACTGCTCTGGGCTCTCCTAATCTAGGAATAGGCAGTTCCCCCAGTAAAGAGCCACATGTGGTGTAATGAGTTGGGAGTTTTTTTTTTTTTTTTTTTTTTTTTTTTTTTTTTGGGGGGGGGGGGGGGGGGGGGGGGGGGGGGGGGGGGGGGGGGGGGGGGGGGGGGGAAAATTAAAAATCAGGAATGATTTTTAAAAATTATCCACTTGCCAGGCCATGGCAGTGCACACCTTTAATTCCAGCACTCAAAAGGCAGAGGCAAGCAAATCTTTGAGAATTCAAGGACAGCCTGGTCTATATAGTGAGTTCCAGAACAGCCAGAGTTACACTGAGAAGCCCTATCTCAGAAAAACAAAAGCAAAAAATTGATAATGATAAAATAAACAAAAAATAAAATATTGTCCACTAAGAGTATGGTATGCATTTTATTAAAATTTTTGAGTGAATGTTTTGCAAGGCAAGGCAAAGCTAAAATTGCTGTTCTAGGCCTGGGAGGGTGACTCAGTTGGTCAAGGTGTTTATTGCATTTGGTTTTTTTGTTTGTTTGATTTGTGTTGGCTTTTGGTTTTTTGAGACAAGGTCTCTCTATGATGTAACTCTTGTTGTCCTGGAACTCATTATGTAGCCCAGTCTAGTCACAAATTCACAGAGATCCACAGCCTCTCGGTGAGCTGGGATTAAAGGCGTGTGTCAGCACACCCAATCACCTTTATTGTATTTTGAATCCTTAGAAATTATGCAAACCCTGGTGCAGTGTTGTTCATCTGTGATCCCAGGGCTCCTATGAGGAGATGGGAGGTGGAGACAAGAGAATTCCCAGAAGGTCTGAGGCCAGATAATCTGGTGTATCATCCATCAACACGCAGAAAGACTAACACTAGAGGTTGCTTGCTGACCTCCACACAAACTCCATCGTGCACATGCGCTTGCACTCACACAGATACATGCTGTAATACACACAAACACAAAAAGAAAGGAGAAAATCCCATCCTAACTATTGGCAAAGGATCAGAATCTTTTATGACATCCAGATGTCATGACTTCCTGCCAATAACGCCGCACTTGAGAGGCTGAGGCAGGAGAATAACTGTGAGTTCAAGATAAGCCAGGTTACACAGTATGTTTCAAACCAGCCTGGGATACAGAGTAAGACCCTGTTTCAACAACAACAATTATGTTATAAAGTCATAAGGCTTGTCTAACTTTACAACATGCCAGGGTTATGTATGTTTTTAAAACACCATCTTTTGGAAGAGCAGCCAGTGCTCTTAACTGTTGAGCCAACTCTCCAGACCTTCTAAGAATAATTCTTTTGGGGTTTTGTTTGTTTGTTCTGGTTTTTCCAAACAGGGTTTCTCTGTGTAGCTTTTGGAGCCTGTTCTGATGTTTGATCTGTAGACCAAGCTGGCCTTGAACTCACAGAGATGTGCCTGCCTCTGCCTCCCTAGTGCTAGGATTAAAGGCTTGTTAAAATATGCATAAGAAAATAACCAGAGATCTGTTTTCCGCCCCTCTTCCTGAATGATAGGATTATTGGCTATCTCTTCTGTTCAAGAAACTGGTGGGTCCCCAGGTGCTCATGGTGCGAGTGAAAGGCCTAGACAGAAGCAAACTTCGAATGTATCTCCACTGCACAAACACCCACCAGTAAGTACCAAATACACCCTTCCCCAAAGAAGTCTGAATTGGTAAGCGTGTCACCCCAAAGGCCTTCTAGTTGTGTGATGGATCTGAACTGTGTCATTTCTCTTTATCCTGTCTTCACAGTACCGAAGGCTAACTTCAAAGAACTTCTAGTGGGGCTGGGTGGATGGCTCCGTTGGGGAGGTGCTTGTGTGGAAGCTTGAGTACAATATCCATCATCCATGTAGAAAAAGCCAGATGTGGTAGTGTGTACCTGTAGTCAGGGCACTGAGGAGGCAGAGACACTCCCGGGTGTGCTGATTGGCCAGTCTATCTGAATTAGGGAGCTCCAAGCCAACAAAGGAGACTTGTTGAGAGGCAACTGAGAAAAACATCTAATGTCCGTCTCCAGCCACCATCTGCATATGTGTGCTCATGCATAGGAACACACACAATTGCTTAAGTAGGGGCTGGAGATATGGCTCAGCAGTTAAGAGCACTGGCTGAGGACCCAGGTTTGATTCCTAGTATCCACATAGTGACTCACAACTGTTTTGTAACTCTAGTTGTAGGGCATCCAGCACTGGCTTGGGCAGGCACCAATCACACACACACAAGACCACACCTACAGGGTATTTAAGCTCCAGTCTAGACCTACCACATGGCTTCTCCTTCCCCCCTCCCCCACCTCACTTCTTGGGGCCTCAGAGTCACCCAGGACTAAACCTGATCTTTTTAATTTGGCTTGATCTAGCTTATTGTGTCATCGAAGAAACCTATTACTGGGAATCCAAAACCACACACACACACACACACACACACACACACACACACACACACAGAGGCAGAACACTCTTTCACATAAAGTTTTTTTTTGTTTTTTTTTTTTTAATGAAAAATCAAGCTGAGCAGTGGTGGCACACGCCTTAAATCCCAGCACTCAGAAGGCAGAGAGGCAGGTGGACCCTTGACATCGAGGCCAGCCTGGTCTACCCAGAGAGTTTCAGGAAGCCAGGGCAAAGAGAAACCCTGTCTTAAAAAAAAAAAATAAGATTTAAAAACAAAACAATTGCTACAATATAGGCATTTGCAACCCAGCAAAGATTTACATAAGGATTTTAATTACTATAGTCTATAATAAAAACACACCCTGAATTTCATTAGGAATGAATTTTACACAAGTAAAATGTCACCACATCCAGATGGATAATTGACTCCTTAAGGAAGTGTGAGGCATTGAATGTGAACATGAATTAGTGTAAATGTAGGAGTCTGTGCATGTACTTATCTCCATGGTTTACTACAGTAGAAGAAAGAATCAACAATAACAACAGTCTCATATGACAGAAAGGTCTGGCGACATGCCTCAGCTGGTGAAGGTCCTGCCATAAGGACTCACCTGATTTCCATCCCTGGGATCCACGTGGTGGGAGGAAAGAACTGACTCCCAAAAATTGCCCTCTGCCCTCTGCACATGCACACACATAAGTAAACTTAACCTTTTAAACTTAGAGATTCTTTTTTAAGTTGTAACTGGGCCAGCAGACAGCTCAGCAGGTACAGGACCTGCAGGGACTGAATTGAATGCCGCAAGGTAGTGACAGAGAACCAACTCCCAAGAGTCATCCTCTGGCCTCCACACATGTGGCACCCATATGTCCTTCCCAGAAGTAAACCAAATAAACAAAAAATACTTTTGAGTTGTGACCAGTTTCTAGAGCGAGAGGCCATGCAGATGTTTGTAGCCCCTGCCATTTGGATGTTCATGGCCCTGTACTCTGTGTTTAGGTAGAAAGAGTTTCCCAAACTCCAGGGCTTTGCTCATCTGGGCTTCAGTCTGTCATGGCAGACAGGCTAATGCTAGGCCCCAAAGCCACCTAACATTCTCCATTCCTGGTGACTGGGGACTCTGAATAGTGACAGTCATTGTATGAAGTACGGAATGGTTTAACTGGATAAATCCTGAAAAAGTCAACAGATTTATGTTTTGTCTGTTGTTTGTTTACAATAGGATCTTACTAGGTAGTCTTGACTGGCCTGGAATTTGCTATGTAAACCAGGCTGGCCCTTGAACTCAGATCTGCCTGCCTCTGCCTCTGCCTCCCACGTGCTTGGCCTTTGTTTAACTACCTTTGTATTTTGCCTGATTATTACATTTTGTGTGTTTTTGCATAAGTGCATGCTCACATGAGGGGGGCACATGTGTATTCAAGTGTGTTGGTGTACACACATGAGTGTGCATGAAGAAGTCCACAGTCTCAGGGGCCCCTTCCTCAGGGGCCATCTACCTTTTATTAGAGACTGGGTTTCTCATTGGCCTGGAACTTTGCTAAGTTTGCTAGGCTAGTTGGCCAGCAAGCTCTAGAGAGTCACATGTCTCTCCTTTTTGTCTTACCGTCACTAGAATGACAAGCACGAGCCACCTTGTCCAGCTTTTTACAGGATTTCTGGAGATTGAGTGATCATTTTACCAGCTTACCTGTCTCCTCTGCCCCCCTTGTCTTTTGTCTTTTTAAGAAATTATTTTTGTTTTGTATGTGTGGGTGTTTGCCTGCATGCTTGTGTATCTACCATGTGTGTACCAGGTGTCCTTGGAGGTCAGGAAGAGGGCATTGAATCTCTTGAAATTGGAGTTACAAAAGTTGTGAACTGCCTTGTGGGTTATGAGGATGAACCCTGGTCCTCTAGAAGAGCAGCCCATGCTCTAACCAGCCTCCTGTTTAGTCTTTTTATCAGTTCTTGTTTATATAGTTTATAACTGGAATTCACTATAGATCTTATCATTAAACCTTCCTATATATGAAAGCTGGCTATGGCCCTCTGGAGCTCCATGTGGCAAAGGAGCAAAGCTCTTAGTGTTCTGGCTCAGGAGGTAGTGATGCAAAGAACAGTACTTTTCTTGTTTTCAAAATAGGGCTACACGATTGGTCTAACACCATCCTAGAAAAGGTCTCTAATAGGTCCCCCCACCATTATGAACACGGGCACTTGGTATCCCTGATTGTGTGAATGTTCAAGTTCTTCACTGTATAAATCAGACAGATGTGTGACTGGATTAACCTGTTTGCTTTTAGCCCAAAGTATCAGGATGGAGATTTAACTCTGTATGTCTTGAACCTCCATAATGTCACCAAGCACGTGAACTTGCCATATCAATTGTTTAACAAGCCAGTAGACAAGTACCTTCTAAAGCCGTTTGGACCTGAGGGGTTACTTTCCAAGTGAGTAATTTTTCTTGAATACAAACTTTATGTAAGTTCATTAGCACTGATCAGAATAGAGGGGTTTCTTTAATGAGGGGGGAAAGGGGCAACTATTACATTCTAACATTTTTATTTCATAAATTCTATATATGAGTACTTATACAAGTGTAGCTCATGGAAGAGGGTGACCCAGAAGGATATGGACACAAACCAGTGTCTTAGAAGAAAATCTGTAATCCCAACTATCTTCTGGTATCAAGATCCATTCAATGTATTTAGATTATTTGTTTTTTTATATTTTTATTTAAAACAATTTTTAAATTTAAATATATTTTTATCGTATTCCTCCCCCCCAAGTTCTTCCAGATCCTCTCTCCCTACCCACTTAACTTTAGGTTCTTTCTCAAAAAAACAAAAACCCAATACAACAGCAAATCCCCCCAAGACCAAGAAAACAAAATAAACCCACACCCAAAAAAGAAGACAAACAAAACCACCACACTATAACCAAGTAAAAGCACACACAAAAAATATGGAGTCTATTATATGTTGTCTCCGGAACACGAGGCCTGCCCTGGAGAGGTTGATGTATCACTCTATGGAGGAAAACTCATTTTCTCTCTCCCAGCAGCTAAGTGACAGTTCAGTTACTATTATCCTAGTGGCTAGGTTTTCATCCATTCATTTTAAAAATACATATAACAAAATAAACTGTAAGATAAGTGAAAAACTATCACATCAAAGTTGGACAAACAGAAGAAAAAGCTGAAAAGAAGGTACAAGAATCAGAGACCCACTTGTTCACACACTCAGGAATCCTGTAAAAACAACAAACTAGAAGCCATACTACACACACACAGAGGACCTGGTGCAGACCTGTGCAGACCCTGTGCATGCTGCTTCGGTCTCTGGGAGTTCATGTGAGCTTTGCTCATGTTGATTTGGAGGGCCTTGTTCTCCTGATGTCTTCCATCCCCTCTTTGCTCTTTCTCTTCCATGGGGTTCCTTGAGCTCTGAGGGGAGGGATTTGATAGACACATCCCCCTTAGGGCTGAGTATTCCAAGGTCTCTCTCACTTTGTGTATTATGTGTTCCCATGCAGGAGGAAGCTTCTCTGATGATGGCTGAACATGGCACTGATCAATGAGTATACAGAATATCATTAGGAGTTGTTTTATCACTACATTTTTTTTTAGATCAGTTGTATTTGGTTTTTCCTCTAGGTCCCTAGGGTATCTAGTCTCAGATTCTTGGTTACCCAAGCAGTGCTGGACATGGGTTCCAGCTTGAGGAGCAGGCCTTAAGTCAGATCAGTTATTGCTTGGTTACTTCCATGAGCTTTGTGCCATCATTGCCCTAGCATATCTTGTAGGCAGTACACCATTCTAGATAAAGGGTTTGTGGCTGGCATTTATCAAGTGCAGAGTACTTCCACATTTAGAGTATTTGTTCAGAAAAGATACTCTGATAGCCAATGGCATGGAACCACCCATCTGACCAAGGAAGGGGATGTGGGTGGAATAAAATACCACACACAGCTAGATGGGATTCTCCTGCAGCATTAAAGTAGGTTGGGGGGGGGCAGTGTGTGCAGAATAGAGTAAGAAAAATGGCTGGAAATGAGATTTCAAGTAAATTATTTGAATTGTTTTAAATGCATTTCCTGGGTGCAGAGGTCTGAGGATAGTATGCAGGGGGCAGTTCTGTGCTCCCACCGTGTGGGTCCGGGGAGTCAGATTCCGGCTGCCAGGTTTGGTGACAAGTGCCTCAGCCCACTGAGCCAATGCACCAGCCTTGAGTGAAAATATTTTAAGTGAAAACAGTATTTATCTCAGGTGAATTTTTCCAAGGCTTCCTGATTCTGCCAAACCTATGGCTTACTAATTCCTTGAACCTTTATCTCACCTGTGGTTAACAGACCTGTCTTCTATTTCCCATCCTCCTGTTTCTGTAACGTGGCACAAGTTACTTCCCTCAGATACCACCCCCCCCACACTACTGCTGAATCACTAAACACATGTACTTAGGGCAGCTGATTGAATGCTGCAGCCTGAGCAGGTGGATCTTACCATGTTCCTGTCTCACACAGCACTATTCACAATAACCAGTCTTACATTCAAATTAATTCACAGTAACCAGATTTACCTTCAAGTCAAGGTAGCAAAGCACTGACTTGATCCTAGGACTTCACTAGGCATTTGCTTTGTAGACCAGGCTGGCCTCAAACTCAAGAGACCTACCTGCCGCGCCTCCCCAGTGCTGGGATTAAAGGTATGCACCACTGCAGACCGGCAGTGGTAAGCATTCTCAAAGGGTCCTTCATTTCATGCCAAGGACTCTTACTTACCACCATTCAGAGGTATTTTTCAAGACCTACTTTTGCTTGTGGTTTCCTGACAACAGGTCATATTTCCTGCCCTTCCTCATATAAACTTGATGTGATTTGTAAGTGTAAAAACAAAACCAAAGCCAGTGGACTGAATCCACCTCACAACAGACTTGGAGATAGCCCCTGGCACAAATGTGGCATGTTGTTAGCTTGCTTTGAGTTGTGGGACTAGGTGCTGAGCATCTAACAAAGGTTATGTGGAACTCGGTTTCTACCCACTGATCCTAATAAGAACGGGAGGTGAAGCAGGACGTGGTGATGCACTTGGGAGGCAGAGGCAGGTGGAACTCTGTTAGTTCAAAGCCAGGCTGGTCTATAGAGTGAGTTCCAGGACAGCCAGAGCTACAAAGAACTAACCTGCCAAAAAAGAAAGAAAAACACAGGATAATGCCACCTGGAAACAAAATATCTAAAAGTAGAGGATTAAGTAAATAGTACTAGTGAATTCATATCATAGAATCCTGTGTGTTCATCAAAATGATATAGTGGATGGATATTGTGTGATATGAACAAATATGCAGATGTATTAAGAGCAAAAGAAGTTTTAAGAAAAAAAAATACAGGGCTAGAGAGATGGCTTAGTGTGTAAGAGCACTGGCTGCTCTTCCAGCCTCTCTTCAAGTCCCAAGTCCTACTGGCCAACCACATGGTGGCTCACAACCATCCGTTATGAGATCTGGTGCCCTCTTCTGGTGTGCAGATATACATGGAAGCAGAATGTTGTATACATAATAAAATCTAAAAAAAAAAAAAAAAAGAAAAGAAATACAAATTATATAACTAAAGCTACCACAAAAGTCCTCCTTAGTTTAAAATGATTTTACAACTTTTGTAGGGGCACAGTGCATGCATAACCTGCCTAACTCAAGTGTGTCTTTCCTTCCTGTAGATCTGTCCAACTGAACGGTGAAACCCTGAAGATAGTGGATGACCATACCCTGCCAGCTTTAACAGAGAAACCTCTCCGCCCAGGAAGCTCACTAGGCATGCCTGCCTTTTCCTATGGGTTTTTTGTCATAAGAAATGCCAAAATTGCTGCTTGTTTGTGAAAATAAAAGTCATACAATAGCACTGAGACGAGAGGGGTCAGGGGTGTTATTCATAAGACTGAAGCAAAACTCTGTATGTAGCTGTATGTAGGAAGGCCGACTTGTTATCAAGCTCCAGAGCCTTGGGAGGACTGGGGCATGCTTCAGTGCTGGATTGAGTGTGATGATTTCATTTAAATCGAACACTGCAGGTGATGACAGTTAATGGTACTGTGTGTTAAATGATGCTTAGCATCTTGCATGCATTATTTTGGGGGTTATTAAAAATGTATAGGAATGCCTTTGATATGACCAAGAAGCAAATGAGTGAAGGATATGTCATGATTTTTTTAAGCTTTGCTTTATTTTATTATTATTATTATTATTATTATTATTATTATTATTATTATGCTTAGCAGATTGTCAAATCTGTCCTTCAGGAGCCTCTCTGTAGCTCATTGCCACAACTCCACCGGGGCTGTAAAAGACATTCACCTACTGTACACACCTCAGAGGAACTAAAATGAAGAGAACAGGCCCCATTCCCCTTGTTCTTCAGAAACCATCTGTGAAAGGAGAGTAGGTTGGGTGGGATAGTATTAAAAACAAACAACAACCACAAAAACCAGTGACAACCACTGAGAGGGAAGGGATGACATAAGTTTGGAAATGACTGTAAAGGAGACAGTTGGTTGACCCAGAAGTTTTAGGAAACACCTGACATGTCATTATCATCCTACTGTTTACTTTTTCTATACCATTAGTTCTTGCTTCGCTTGGGAAACTTTGGCCTGTGAGTAACATAAACCTCTAAAGGAGGACATTTATAACCCCACATGAGAAGTTGTTCAAGTGAGGCAAGATCCAACAGTTGGACCCATCCCCAGAGGGCGGCTTCTTTCACCTGCTGTCTTTAGCACTGGCTCTGTTCTTGACCTGGTCACATGATAACTGTGACTGGTCTACAGATTCACTGAGATCTGGCAGCAACCAGAGGAAAAGGATGAGTGGTTTCTTCAGAAACCCAAAGATATCTTTCCTGGAGGTTTTCCCAGCAAGTCTTTCTTCAAGTCCCAAGTTCTACTGGCCAGGAATAGACTATGGTCATTTCCCCAGGTACCACCCATGACCATTGGCTGCCTCTAATTGGGGCAGAGAGGTTTGGTGGAGTCCATAGCACTGGACATTACAGTCCTATGCTTTGATCAAGTAACAAAATATAACTATTTCTCCCCCCAGGATTTTAACCCTCTTAAGGATTATGATTCTATATGTTTGTGTCTGCTATGAATATTATCTTAATTGAATATGAACACATTCAACTTTAAAGTTTGGATGCCTCAATATTCTCAAGTTTTTATGCAAGCAGTTTTTATATTTTCACATTTGAAATAAACTAATTTTATAGCCTTAATTTGTATGGTTATTCTTCTAAGAAAGCTAAAGCTAACAGGTTATTAGATTTGAAAGTCTGGTTTTGATGGATCGAAGATGTGGCTTACTGGAAAAATGCTAGCCTAGAACAGACAAAAGGTCCTGGATTTGATCCTTAGCACTACACAATGAATGAATAGATGAAAGAATGAATGAATGATGCCTTTTCCTTCACCATTTTCTTATTCCTCCTACCATCAGGCATAAATATAATTTTCCTACTCCACTCATAGTCTTGACTTATATATTTTCCTTGTTCGTCTTCTACCGAAAAACTCAATGCCTAATTTTTCATTTGTATGATTATAGCATCATCTAAGTTGTTCATTCACTCTGACTTTGCCTCAAACTCTTTTAAGATTATTATTTTTCAGTTGTGGGGGGGAGGGGAGGGTGTGCACATGTGTGCAGGTGCCCTCAGAGGACAGAATCTGGAGTTACACATGACTGTGAGCAATCTGACATGTGTGCTGGGGACTGAACCCAGGTCTTCTGGAAGAGCAGTCAGTGCTCTTAACTGCTGAGCCATCTCCAGCCCTATTAGTGTGACTTTTTAAGCCCCTATACCTGGTAGGTACACCTGGTAGCTTTTTTTTTTTTTTTTTTTTTTTTTTTTTTTTTTTTTTTTTT